TATATGAATTCAATCAAGTTGCTGATTTTGATTTTTGACATTAAGTCCATGATAGTATTGTTTGTGAAAGTATTTGAACCTGGCTAAAGCCCCCCTGCACCTTTTGAAAGTTGGAAGTATTCCAATTGTGAACAGAAGGCTTCTCTTCACTTTCTCATACTGGATAAAGCTCTCCCCTGCTTTTAGAGATGAACTTGAATATTCTCGTTACCAATCATCACATCTAGGGGTGATTATTTCTACCTCAGTGTGGCCCAGCCCACAAATTTTCGAGATTGGGCCTGGGTCTAACCTTTCAAGCCCATCTGACCTGTAATACATGTCGTTTTATTTTATAAAATGGCATATATAATGTATTATGATAGCTTATATTTATACAAATTATAACGTATATATACATGTTGCTCCATAATATAAAGTATTATATATATATTAAAGAATATATTTAATGACATAGGCACAAATCGTCAAATCCTGGCCCAGGCCGCGGTTATGGTCTTTGTCATAGGTGTTAAGCCCGGCACCTTGTATTTGTACGTAATATTTATATTTGCACTCTTCCCCAAACTGAGCTAGAGATTTTTTTTTTTTTAAGATTTTTCTTTGTAGAAAATGGCATCAGATCTCAGTTCTGCACTGTCCTTTTTATTTTGAAATCAATCTTCATATTTTTCACTCCTGCCACTGTTTTTTTTTTTTTGGTGGACTCTAGATATTTTCTTATAATATTTTCTAGGCCCAAAAACGAAAAGGTTTTCAGGTATTTAATAAAATATTTGAAATTAACTTGATGGCATTCTTATAGTCCCAAGGTTTCAACTGGCTGGTTGGTAAGGTTTCCTACTGATTGTAGCGAAGACTTAGGGTCGAATCCCCGCCTGCACCCGAATTATGGGGTGGGGGATGAGCTACTCCCTTTGTGTAACCCTTCGAGAAAAAATAAAAGAGAAAGAAAAAAAAAAAGTGATGAATGTCACAATTCACAAAGGCTCATTGCTTGGTAATTTATGTCTATTTCTAAAAAGCAGAAAAAGTTTCATCCCGTTTCAGAAAAGTATATGGAAAGTTTGTGTAATTTTTTCTTTCATTTAGATAACTTTATAATTTTTTTGAAAGGCAGACAACCTTTTAATAAAGTCCGGCATTCTTTGTATAAAATTACACTAAGGCTCAGTTTGGAAGGAGTATAATAGAGTGCAAAGCCTTATATTTTGAATATATTTACACTGTACATATTTACATTTGTACTCTTTTCAAATTGAGTCTAATTGATTTTTATTTATCTTAAGAAATTATTAGAACCCTAGAAGATGCACAGGAATAGCCAACATACAATATGATTACAGAAGAGAAGAGAACTATATCTAGTACCCAACATACAATATTAGAATGTTTTGGACAGATTGAGGGAAGTGGATTAGAAAGTTGCTTGTTTTATCTAGAAAGATAGGAGAATTATGGAGTCTAAGTTTTTAAATCAGTTTGAAATATTTCTCACCTTTTTCCTGAGCAAAGTTTAGCCACGTTTTATATTCTTCTAAAATAAATACACATGTTGTTAAGTCTTAAGCCTTGTGTGAGAAGGAAATCTAAGCCACAAATCTCAAGCAAAGAAAAGCACTAGTATTAGGGAGTCTGGAGTGTTTTGTTTGATACTCGCAGTTTGGGGGGAATTAACAACAACGAGACACTAGAACTGCTTTTGTTGATTTGTGCTTTTTCTCTTTTTTCTACTGTGCAGTGTTGCTTTGTGCTTTGGAGGCTCGGGAGCCCTGCGGCCCATAAGGCAAAAGATTAAGACTATGGTATCGATGATTCATTGGCTGGCTCCAATTTCACAGATCCAGTGGTTGATAGACAGCGCATCTTTAGAGTTTTATTCATCTTTATGAACACTCTTTTCCCCAAAAGAATTTGGGGGCCATCTTCCAACTAAAACTGGTACAATTTTAAAGCGCAAAAGAGAAAGAAAAAAAAAAAGTTGGAACAACCAATTAATTAAGGTGGAAATGGTGGACTGTAAACCTCCACATCCAAAAGCTTCCTAGAAAAATATCTCTGCTAGAAGAATTCAAAGTTCAAACATCAATGAATTGGACAGCACGTCAGCCTAAGCTCGTCCATGAAACTCACACCATACATGAAACTCACTTATCAAAGCAACATAAATATACTCCATAACCACAAGTTGATCAATTATGCTCTTAAGGTTGTGTTTGGTTTGAAAAAAAAAAGGTATAGAGAGAGATGAAAGGAAAGGAAAGATGGAAAACCTATACCTAGGAATGGCAATTAACCCCTCCCCGATTCCCACCCTGAATGGGGACGGGGCAGGGATAGGGAGTGTACTCCCAGCCCATGGGGCCCCCGATCTCATCCCCTATATATATAGTTGAATATATTTGAATATATGGGGATAACCTTATCCCTACCAGTCGGGGACTGGGATAGAGATTTTAGTAGGACACCCCACCCCGTTGTCATTTCTACCTATACTAATACCTTTCCCTACCTTTTTCATCAAACCAAACACAGCCTAAATATTAAAGATGTCTTCCTTACTTGTGCCCCAATTTTCCTTTACTTCATGTAAGCAAAACAAATTCGTATTAATTACCACTAAAAAAACAAAGGTAGATATCATTCACTTCATCATTTCATTCTAAGTTGTGATCAATGGATCTTGATCAGCATAAACCATCTAGCTATTTTGTTAAACACTTAAGGGCTATTATGTTTTAGGTAGACCCAACTGGGTACAGTGATATATGCACAGTGAATGTAACATATATGCACTATTCATGTCAGGGCAGTAATAAAAAGACCCGGTTGGGAGGGTGCCAGTTTGGAGCCATAACCCTTCATCTCTAAAACTTACTGGTAAAGAGTCGTAGGGTTTGGGATGGAGATTGCGGTTAATCCAAGAAACTCGTTGTCTGTCACCTGACTTATTCAGGTTACAGTGACAGTTTGCGACCCGGTTTAAATTCACGTCATTTTCAAGCCATGTTTGCGAGTGCATAAGTGAAAAGTAAGTGATTTATTTGCATTTAGCACTCAATTTTTTCAAGTGCTTATTTTTTTAAAATAAGCACCTATTTTATATTGAGTGTTTGGTAGACTTTTTCTCTAATAAGTACTTAAATAAGTATTTGTGATTATTTTATCCTTCATTTTCTTTCAAACTTTCAAAATATACCCTTTGAAAGCACATTTATTAAATTACTTTTGTGAAAGTAATTTTATTAAAACACTTTATGAAAGTACTTTTATGAAAGCATTTTTGTAAAAGTATCCTTATGAAAGTACTTTTATAAAAGTGCTTTTATAAAGTGCTTTCATAAAAGTGTTTCTTATAAGTGTTTTCATAAAAGTACTTTTATTAAAATGCTTTTGTAAAAGTGTTTTCGTAAAAGTGTTTTCACAAAAGTGCTTTTATATAGTCCAATTAGGATAATTTTATAAGTGGTATTTTAAAATTCAACTATGGATAATTTTGGAAGAAAAAAAAATGAATAAGTGCTTATTGTATAAACACTTAAAAAAAAGTTGAAAATTTGGACCTAAAAAATAAGCCCTTATTTTTAAAATAAGCACTCCCAAATATAACCTCAGTTATGCATTTTCTTGGTTGATCCCTACCAAGCCATTACTATCCTCCCTTCATAAATCTGTATTAATCAATGGTCTCCACATAAAGTGATGGATCAAGAAGAAAACTGATAAAAAAAGCCCAATATGTTTTGTTTAGACTTGAGCCCTTGTGCTTTGCAAAGTCATCGTGGTTTAGCTAGGGATCAATTTGGAAGGAGTATAAATACAAATATGTAGAGCTTAAAATCTTATATTTTATATTATTTTTATGTATTTATACTGTATATATTTGTATTTGTACTTTTTCCAAACTGGGCTTTGAGGAATAGAGACATCTTTGCGATTCATCCTGGAATTGCCTCAAAATGATGATTATTAATTAAGAATTAAAAGGGAATGAATGAAAACACCATTATAAAATTAAAATCCTAAATTACAGAAGAAAGATCTTAAAGACGGAAGCTTGTTAAATTCCTGTGAAGGTTCAAATTTAAAATTGAGGTTCAGTTGTAATTGTATAGATATTTTGGACATTTTAGTGCTTTTTATCAGAGGATTCTAATAAAGGGATCAATTTGCAATTGTGTCAAAAACTTTAATAGAATGATTACAATTACTAAATACTAAAGTAAACTTTAAGAGGGTTTTACCAATGCACCCAATACTAAAATATGGAAATATGGCTTGTTCGGAGACTCGGAGTTACGTTGGCTGTAGGGCGCAGGCTATTATTAGCATTTGTCCATTTCCAACTGATACTTCTTACATTCTCAGTATAACTCGCCATGAAAGAAGGTCAAGTTGCCGACTTCGTATCTGCCGTTGGATTTAAGATGTAGGGAGGAAAAGCTGACTATTCACTAGTACGATTAGTGATCAATGGTGGGGCCCAACACTTGGAGATATAGTAGCCCACGTATGAGGGTAGGTGAATGCAATTCATTCCCGCCAACCCTTTCTCGCTGGCTTCGGGTCAATCCCTCCCCTTCACCACTAAATTCGGGGGGAGCGAGAGACTGAAGAGAGTGACTGGTTGATGATTTCCATCAGAAAGAGACTTGATTAGTAAACCGGAATAACGGAATTTCCCCAAAACTATTCCCATTATCACTTTTATGCAGTAGTTTTTACAAGTTACAAGCTTCTGTTAAGTTAGGGCAGTTTCGACAATCACAGAAATCTAAATATCTATAATCATTGAAGCCAAAGTAAATATATAGAAACGCAAGGGACCTTCTAGTAATCTCGGTTAATTAATTCTCGAAATAAAATCGAAAAACAAAAAAAAAATGTCCACCACCTTTTCTTTCCCATACTCATTTATTAAATAATCAAAATGAACTTAAATCTTCTCTTTTGTCCTCTTCCCTGACGGCCCTTCTTTAAATACCTCCACCCTCCTTCCATCGAAGGGTCATAGAAATTCCTCCAGATCTCTCTTTCTATCTGAGATCTCAAAGGAAAACCTTCTCTCTCTTTCTCTCTGAACCTATAGAGAAGATGGAATCGAGTCCACCGGACATAGCCAAGAGACTGTGGAACATCGTACGTGTAGTGTTTTACATGCTGAGAAAAGGCATCTCGAAGCGGAAACTAATGATGGATCTTCACCTGATGATGAAACGCGGCAAGATCGCAGGGAAGGCGCTGGGCAACCTGATGTTCCATCACCACTCCAACTTCAGTTGCCGGTCGAACGACGTACAGCTGTCGTTCGTCGCTCCTCGTGAGTACGAGTTTAGCTGCAGCAACAGCCCAGCCTACCCCTCTTACTTCCCGTTTCACGTCAACAAGCGCAAGAACCACCATTCCTACACCTCCCATTCTCACCAGCACCATCAAGACGACGCAGCAACCATTAATGCGGTGCAGAAGATGTTGGAGATGTTGAGCAATGACGTTATTTCGGAGCCGTCTCCGTTGGTAAATCTGCCGGGGTTCGGGAAGAGCCCCATGGCACGGCAGTTGCGGATAACGGACTCGCCGTTCCCGTTAAGATCCACTGACGAAGACAGCCATGTTGACAAGGCAGCTGAGGAGTTTATCGAAAAGTTTTACAAGGATTTAAAGCTGCAGAACAGGATGGCTGCCCTCGAAGCACGCTACCAAGGAATGTGGTCCCCAAGTTCCGGTTGAGGTTCCGGCAGGGAATCGTTGTCAGGTTCCAGCTCTGTACGTAGATTGCCGGCAATAATCCAATTCAGCTTCATTCAGCGCTAATTTTCTCTTTTTTCTTTTCTTTTCTTTTTCTTTTTCTCCTCGATGTTACTGTTGAATCAATAAATGATTTCTATGAATTCCTGGCTTCTGTCCGTTAGAAAGCTTGTATTATGAGTGTATAGTCCGGCTATGGAGATCTAGTCATGATTTTTATGAATTCCTGCTCTCTCTCTCTCATAACTTTCTTCTTTTTATTTTCCTTTTTTTTCCTAATAGATCGCCTCTCTCTTGTGGTTGTTCGTGGTACTTCATTTGAGTTTAGGTCACGTGCCATGCACGACTGCAGTTACAGATACAGCACAGGGGGAAGCAGAAATTAAGCATGTGCTTTTTCTTGATTTTTCGATCAGAATAACAAAAGTTGGGTTTTTCTTTAATTGAAAAAATATATATTTATCGATCAGGGAACTGCGCTTCGGTTTCAGCCCTAATTAAGCGACGCCCTCAATTGCTTATCAGTTGATGCAAAACTTAATTAAGCGCATTACCTGTCTGACGAGGGAACCAATCACTAACAATTAATAAGGTTAAGAGGAAAAAGTGAGGCATCACCCTCAAAACCATAATTTACATAGCAAAGAGATAGAGACATGCATGGCATGCAGTTAATTATCTCATTACCATTTTTTTGTCAAGAGAGTAACAAGGTATTATATTTAGATAAAAAAAAAGAAGAAGTACAGGGATGTACAAGGCAACGAATGCTTTATTAGACTTTCTACTGCTAAAGTTGGGCGCGTATGTGGAGTAGGTATTTGCTAGTAAAGCTTTATGCAGCAAAGAATGCTTTACTAGACTTTCTACTGCTAAAGATTTTCTTTTTCTTTTCTTTTCTATTTTTTATAAGTCAAGTTGTTAACAAAGCAAAGCGTTTGTGGTTGGTTGAAGCAGCCAACACTTAGGATCTGTTTTTCTTATTACAGATTTGGAATCGGAATGGTATATTCCTCGTCTGTTTGGTTTAGATGAAAATTGGGAATAGAAATTGGTTAAAATGGGATTTTCATTTTTAAAGGGAGAGAGAGGGAATAGTTATTCTATTAAAAATAGGAATTGGATTATAATTTTACCCAATAAGTCAGACTGGTCATTCTGATTCTAATTCTAGACTAAGGTTTTAAAAATCGACCTGGAAATAGAACCGTTTTAGCTATTGGTTTTTTGGTCAACGGTTCAACCATCTGGATCGAACAATTCGGACGGTTTGCAACTTTGCATTAGGGCAAATATTTATAGGTTTATATAAAAAAGGAGAATGAAGAAGAAATTGTTGTCGGCTGAGAAAGAAAAAAGAAAGAAAGAAGAAAAGAAATAAAAAAAGGAAGAAAGGAAGGAAGAAAAGAGAAAGGGAAAAAAGAAAAGAAGAGAAAGGAAAGGAAGAAGGGAATGAGGGAAGAAGAAGGAAAAGGGAAGGGGGGAAGAAGGAAGAGGAGGAGGATGATATGCTCACCGGCGACGATAATGGCGATGGCGAGGCGGGGGCAACAGAGTTCTCAGATCTCATATCTGAGATTGATTTCTCTGCAACGTTTGTACTTTCTTCTTCTTCTTCTTCTTCTTCTTCTTCTTCTCTCTCTCTCTCTCTCTCTCTCCTAGATATCAGATCTGAGTTCATGTTTCAAACTGGATCTCAGATCTGAGTTTGATTGTTTCTCTCCTCTCTGCAACTTTTTTAAACTACGAACCGCTGTCCGAGCCAAATGAATTGACGGTTCGACCACCCAAGTCATCAGTTTTCTGACAAAGTCAACGATTTTGACCCAAGAACAAACGAGTTAGGGGTGAAATGGAACCGATTGCTTGGATGGTTTCTGAACCGAACAGTTCGACCATCCAAATCAATGAACATTAATCATTAATGGAGTGTGTTCAATAATCAAAAATTAAAATATCAATATGCTCAATACCAAAACATAAATATCGATGCATATCAATATAGCTGATACTCAATTCTTTTGTTTCTTTTTTTTTATTTTATTTTATGATGATTAAGGGGTTGGGAAAGAAGACTAAAATGTTTTTAACATTTAAAAAAATTCGTGGATTGGTATATTCAAATGCATCCAAGTCTCAATATTTTAATCCTTATCAATAATTACGTAGTATATTCATATATTAATAATCAAAATATCCCCATTACTCTTTCAGTTGGGCATTCTAATCTCTCTCTCTTTATATATACCGCATAAGGACGGTTCGGAATGTTTTTGGGGTCATGATTGGATGCAAGTGCAAGATATATAGAGAATTATTTGAATTGAAAGGAAGATGAGTTGAAGGCTTCTCTCTAATTGATTCATAAAGAGGCTGGGGTTGATTTGCCAACTGGTTGGAAAGAGATTGCGCAGAAAGAGAAAAGAACTATTGAAAGCAGGTTGCCCATATCCTTCATCATCAGTGAGAGGTTAGATTGAAATCAGAGGATGCATGCCACAAATTTCTAGTGAAGGCCATGACCACTCTTCTTCGTCATACAGGTGTCCCATAGTGATTACTAATTTGAATTATCAAGGTCTTAATCCAACTGCATGTGACCTTCTCTTATAATTATGTCTTTATTCCTATCCATACGATGATGGGCAGAATAATTTTGTTTTTCTTGATAATTGACCTGAAAATAGCCTACCTTTTTTGTTTAATTAATTTCTTTTTTTTCCTTGTACACCTGCTCTTGGAGCTGCCAAACAAGCTGGTCCATGGCCTAATAATTTATTAGCATTATAACATATATCCAAACACAAACATTTGAAAAGCAGTGGAAAATATGTGCCGCTTGATTATGTTTGATCAACCTTTTCATAGCTTCCAAATGTTAGGCAGCCCCTTGGATTAATTGGTCACCAATTAGCTAGGTTGTGTTTGGAAGGGAAAGGTAAACGTATACAGTTTTAGGGTTAAGTAAATGATTTATTGGCACAACAATAATTGAGCAACCAAAGCATATTATTGGGAGAAAGTTCAACAGATTTTGACAATAAATGGTAACAAGACAAATATATGGCCAGAATTTAAAAGGAACGTGCATGAGAAGGAGAAATCAAGGTTGAAATTTTCAATATGATATGCTCCATTGTATTATATCTTTTTCATGCGATACATCTATTTAAAGTTACTTTTAAGAAACTTTTGTTTTAATACCCAAACTCAAGTTTTGGAGAAAAAAAAAAGTTAAAAAATAAAAAAAAAAAGCATATACAAAATTCAAAGCATTAATACACCCCTTCCGACATATTGGGACATATGTCGGAATTATTACAATAATGGTACAATTGAATTCATATGTCATGAAATTTTAATTAAGGGGCCAATATATGTGTCATGGGTACCAAACTACCAATATATGAATTAATTCAAATGAAATCATTCTATTATACGTGTGAATCCAAACAGGCTTCTAAAATGAGATTGAATGAGGGGATGATGAGCATGGATGAGCATAGATCTGTTTTAAAGGGTCCCAATCCCATGCCACTTGTTAAAATATATTTGTGTGTGTGTCTGTATATATATGTATGTATAAATATATTTTAGCAATAAATAATGTATAAATATGTTTTATATATGTTATATGTAATATTTTATATTTAATTTATATTTTTTAATTCAGTTTTTAATTTTTTATTTATAAAAATATTAAAATTGTAATTTGAGCATAAAAAATGGTTTTTTTCACGAAAAATAGTAGAGCAAGGCAACTAAGCATAGATCTCAAAAAGTTACCCAAAATCAAAAAGATAAAAATCACCCCAATCGGACATCGGAGTGCAAAGTTATGGCCTTTGAAAGTTTGTATGCATAGAGTGTGCAACCCGCAACCCAGTCACTGAGTCAAACGGTTCTTGACCAAGTCAATGGTTTTTGACCGTCTAATGGGTCTTGACTGAACCATGGGTTGGTCAATGGTAGGTTGAAAACATTGCATCTCAGCATGCATGGGAGATGTTCCCAATAAATGGTGGGGCATGCGTTGTGGGGTGCGTGTGGAGAACGCTTTGTGCATGGGGTACCTTTGCGAATTCTAGTTGCACGTGTTGTGTGCATGAATGGACACGATGGATACATAGCTACAAGTACAAGTTCATGTAGATGTCTTGCCAATTGAGATACTTCATTTGATGGGGTCTGCTCATATTAAACTACTAGTAATTAAGCATGTGTGTGTTGAATGTGAGATATTTTTCTTCATATTAATTACTTGAATTTTACAGATAGAAATTGAAAATTACAAAAGTAACAACATGATTAAAAATAAATTTAAATGTTTGTAGTAATGTGTACATGCATTGCACGTAGAAATTCTAAATTTTACAATAACAATTATTATTATTATTATTATTATTATTATTATTATTATTATTATTATTATTATATTTTGTATTCTATTTGTCATAAATAAAAATATTTTTTATTTTAACAATTATTTTATTTAATATGACAAATATATAACATTAGAAATATTCTCAAATGTTTTTGACAAAATTTTGTACTTTTTCATTTTTTATGTTCTATCTTTTTTAAATATTTGTTATTCAATTATGACATCATGATTTTCCTTAAAAAGTTGGATCATTGACCCACAACCTAGATAAGAAAATAACTTTGCTTTTAGATCAATTTTAAATTATATATTTCATCTATATTATTTTTTACTTATCACACTTAATTTGTGTTTGACATAATTAATATATAATCTTTTATATATTATTTTGATTATTTGTACTTTTTTGTCTTTATAAAGACTTATTATTTAACTATCATATCATCGATTGATTATTTTAATGCAAATCACTAACCCACCACCCAAAAAAGAAAAGGAATTATTTCTAGGATTGTATTAAATTTCCATATTTGATAAAATCATCTCTCATGTTTACTACTTATTTTTGTTATTTTACCTAAAACTGCTTATTTTTGTTCAATATACTAAACGCATAATATTAGAGGTGCACCCAACATTTTATTTTTTATAAATATATAACATTAGATATGTGCCCGAAATTTTCTCTATTTTTTGTGATTCTTTGTATTTTTTATTTTTAAAAAGTTTATTATTTGACTATGACATCATTTCATCTTTAAGTTGATAGCAAATTTGGCATCCATTTTCATCATTAATAAAAATACTTCTTACGTTTCATACTTGTTTTTGTTTAATAT